ACAAAGGTAATGAACTCCAGGTTTGGTCTGGTCATAATCATGACAAGTTACAAAGGTATTTACAGATTACAGAGGTACGTAATGGGTCCAGGGGCTGGGCCCCCAATGTTTTGATAGCTGACTAGGGACAAAGGTAATGAGCTCACAAGTTACAAAGGTAATGAATTCGTAAGAATGGTTACTTACGTTTATACATGGCAACAACATGAACAAATTATTGTGTAATGAGAAATTCACACTTCCACACCGGTCACAAGTGTGAATTGCTCATTACACTATAATTTGTTCATGATTGTTGCCATGTATAAACGTAAGTAAAACCCTTCTTACAGAATTCATTACCTTTGTAACTTGTGAGCTCATTACCTTTGTATCTAGTTCAGCTATCAAAACTTTGGGGGCCAGTCCTGGACCCATTACGTACCTCTGTAATCTGTAAATACCTTTGTAACTTGTCATGATTGTGACCAGACCCACCTGGAGTTCATTACCTTTGTAAATTGTGAGTTACCACTAACAATAATCTTCACACATCTATCGAAACAGGGCGACTGCCTGATGTATGGAAGATAGCAACGTAAAACTCAGTTTTTTTTTAAATGAGACAGACACGCAGAACTGAACTACAGACCAGTGTCAATGGCATGTATTGTATGCAAATCATGGAGATTATCAGAAGAGTGGTGGACCACCTAGAAAGGAATGCGCTAATAACGACAACCAGCCGGATTTAGAGACGGGAAATCCTGTGTCACAAACCTACTGGGTTCTATAAGAAGGTGACAGTAGTAAGACAAGAGAGAGAAGGGTGAGTAAAGATGCATTTTCTTGATTGTTAGAAGGCTTTTAACACAGTTCCCCATAAGAGATTAGTACAATAGTTGGAGGACCCGGGAGATATAACAGGGAAGGCACTGCATTAGATCAAACAATACTGACGGGAATGCATCAACAAGTCATGGTACGTGATGAGGTGTCAGATTTGGCGATGTCCCCGAGCGGGGTTCACAGGGTCAGCTTATACCCGGGGCTGTTTCTGGTATATGTGAATGATATGACAGAGGAAATAGACTCAGAGTTGTCCCTGTTTGCAGACGATATGAAGTTAATGTGGATAATTCAGTCGGAGGAGGATAAGGCAGTACTACAGAGGGATCTGGACAGGCTACAGGCCTGGTCCAGTAACTGGCTTCTGAAGTTTAACCCCACCAAGTACAAAGTCATGAAGATCGGGGAAGGGTAAAGAAGACTGCAGACAGAATGCAGTCTAGGGGGCCAAAGACTACAAACCTCGCTTAAGGAAAAGGTTCTTGGAGTTTGTATAATACCGAGCACGTCTCCTGAGGTGCACATCAACCAAATAACTGCTGCAGCATATGGGGGTCTAGAGAACCTAAGAATAGCATTCCGACATCTCAGTAAGGAGTCGTTCAAGACCTTGTACACCGTATACGTGCGGTCTATATTGGAGTATGCAGCTCCAGTCTGGAACCCACACCTGGGCATGCATGTCAGTCCACCAATCTTGAAAAGAATACTTGGAAATTCTCACTTGCCTAACCCTTGGGCACAACCTACTTCCACACTGGGCAAATGTGATACCACCTGGAGGTATGATAAAATTCATGGAGGAAGGAGAGAGTGGACCTGGTGACGACCAGTGAAGAGGCTGGGCCAGGAGCTATGAATCGATTCCTGTATCCACAATTAGGTGAGTACACACACACACACACACACACACACACACACACACTGGTGGACACACTTGCTGAGGTGGCAAGAAGAGCTCATTCCATCAGAGCAAAGTTGCTGGTTATGAGGGATTTCAACCACAGGGAGATCGACTGGGAAAACCTGGAGCCCATGGGGGTCCCGAAACATGGAGAGCCAGGATGTTGGACGTGGTGCTGGAAAACCTCATGCACCAACATGTTAAGGACACTA